GCTACATCATTCCCGTTTGCACGGCTGCAGAAGAGCGGGTATACCAGAGTGCAGCACTTAACAGGAAAGAGAGAGAGAGAGGCCCATGGAGATGGTAGGAGTCAGCGGGGAGTCTCATCTCCTACTAACGGCCTCAAGGAAAAGTGAGTGAACCCCAGAGAACATGAGATGAAAGCACAGAAGGGCAAGACAAGGATCTGAGGAGGGCTAACATTTCACAAGACAGATAACTAAGATACTAGTCATTTTCTGGAAGATACAGCACGCACCAAGAAGAAAGTAGATACTACCTGCTGGCCCTGGTTGTTGGGCAAGGGCTACGGCGAAATTAGAATTTGTTTCCTTTGGGCAAAGAATGGTAGTGGTGGTCAAGCTTCTGTTTTTCATTTTGATTTTTGGTTTTTTTTCTACAGATCTGCTTTACCTTTGGAAATGGACTTCACTTAGAGGTAAGGAACCAAGGGGATTATTTTCATCTTTGGGACCCAGAGGCTTAATCTTGTGGTGGACAGTTTGGCTACATCATTCCCGTTTGCACGGCTGCAGAAGAGCGGGTATACCAGAGTGCAGCACTTAACAGGAAAAAGAACTTTGCCTGCACACACCTGTGCATCTGTATAGTCATAAAATATCATAAGATGTTCACAAAGGTGTTTACAGTGGCTGCTCTGTGAAAAAGAAGCGAAGCAATAGAAGTTTTGCATTTAACATCATAAGTTTATCATTTGTAACGTTTTGTTATCTAATTTACATTTTTAAGTTTAAAATTTTTAAATGTAAACAAAGAAATAATCAGTGATTTAATCATAACCACCACATATACTTTAAAGTTTAAAAATCCATATTTTTAAACGACATGAGTAATATGGTAAGATAAACCTAGTACAATAATCATGTCTGATCTTATGGTAAGGTCATCGGTACTGAAATTTTCTTTGGATAAAATATATACTTACCTATAAAACCCAACTGAAAAGTTACAGAATGGTTTTCCACCTAAAGTTTGAAAGACTGAAAATGGGAACTTTCATACTTTATTCAGTCCTGAGAACAGGAGAGTCATTAGCTGGCAGTTGATCGTTTTGGTTAGATTTATTTCAGTAGTTTACCAAAGCATAGTCTTAAAGCAGGTAGGGTTTTTTGGTTTTGTTTTTGTGGTACTGGGGATTGAACCCAGGGCCTTTGCATGGAGGTGCTACCCTGGCCCTTTTTACTGTTTTATTTTGAGACAGGGTCTTGTTAAGTTGATAAGTTGCCCAGGCTGAGCTGAAACTTGTGATCTTCCTGCCTCAGCCTCTCAGAGTGCTTAGATTACAGGCATGTACCACCATATCCAAATTAGTAATTTACTTTTAAATCATAAATCATTACAGAAAAGTAAAACATCATCTCCAACAAGTAATAAAAACAATTTTTACATGCTTTATTATTTCTAATTTGCCAGTTTATGTCACTAAGTAACCCTTCAGCCTTTTGAACTCTTTACTCTGAAATCTTTTCTTACTGTGAAAAACAAAGGCTTATTGCTTTACTCATTTGGCTATAGTCTCTTGGATGCGTATAAAGTTTGCTTATATATACCTTTCCTCTTTGAAAATGACACTTGTTAAGAAGTACAAAATATGTCTTACAAATGGCACTATTTTTAAAGGTTAGTAAGTTACAGAATATCGTACTAAGCTTTATAACGTGTAATAATTTGGGGGGAATATTTTGTTGCTGTAGACTTTAAATACAAGAAGCGAAAGCAAGCTGCTTCCCAAACACGCTCACCTGGTACGACAGAAGCGGGCCTGGATCACCTTCCCTGTGTCCCTTCGGGAGGGAGAGGATCTGTCCAAAAAGAACCCCGTTGCCAAGGTACTTTCTGAGGGTGAACAGGAGCGTGATATGTGCATGACTCTGCTGTGCTGTGACAGGGTTCTTATGCCCACATATTTATTAGTATTATTATTATTATTAATTATTTGATACCAGGGATCAAACTTGGGTCTTTGCGCTTGTGAGGCAGGCGGCGGCACCACTGAGCTAAATCCCCAGCCCTGTCCACTTTTAAATGAAAGGAAAATTATACGCCTTCCTCGCAAATGCAAGGACCCGAGTTCGATCCCCTGCTACCTAAATAAATAAATAAATAAATATAATAAAGGAAAATTATAAATTCAGTGATTTTTTTTTTTTAATATTTAGGATACAAGTGAAACTTAGCAGAGCTAGCTTTTTAGTAGAAATTGCCAACCTTAACATCTTTACTCTTTATTTTGGAAGATGCAGTATCATTGGCAAAAATACTTCAGGTTTTGATCTCGTTCAGAGTTAAGGGATCTGGCATTAGTTTGATCTTAGTTTAACACAGACTGTTACAATAATCAAAACAGTGTTGCCGTTAAAAAGTTTTCACACACGATGTCCATGTTTGCCTGGCACAGTTAACTTATGCCTGTTGTCCTGGCTTAATAACTTAAAAGCTCCCCCTTTACTCTTAAAAATCCAGTTTTTATCAATTATGCAATGACCCTACTACTGTGCATCTCAGAGTTGGCATGCACAAACCCAAACTTCGTTTTTTGCCCCTAAAGCTGCTCTCCTTAAATAGCATTATTCTATTCAGTCTTTCAGACCAAAACTGCAGCAAGTACTCCTGATTCCGTCCCCAGTTGCCCACTTCCATTCCTCTTCTCTGCCACTCCCGTCATCCCAGTCCGTGTCACGTCTGGCCCACAACAGAAGGCGGGCTCCCACTTGTCTCCTGCATTCAGTCTTTCCCCGCCTGCCCCCGTGCAGTCGGCTCCCCGGAAGTCACCTAGAGCAGACTCTGAAAAGACGACGAAAGCTTGTTCCCCTTCCTCACCCTCTCACTGACACCTGTGAGTAGCTCTCCAGCATGGTAGAAGAGAGAACTTTCTTCCCCTGGTCTAAGAAAGCCCATGTGACCCGTCAGCCTTGGCCTCCTTTCCATCCACGGCCACTTCCTGTCCCCTACTCCCCTCTGTCCCGGAACTGACACAGCCCCGTGCAGCCTCCTTCCCTTTGCAATTGCCGTTCCCCCTGCCCCAAAGCTGTTCCCCACAGATACTCGTGGCATCATCAGGATTCAGCAGTGGGACTGGGTGCCTGGGGGACGGGCGGCCCCATGTGCTGTTCCCTTGGTTCCTCGGTGATGTATGAAGAAGAAATTCAGGAACCAATAAGGAGTCACAGCGAGAAATTTACCAGTGATGAATAAGAGAAGTGATTAAAATTGCTTTTAGAGAATAAAGACGGTAATTTCAGAAGACCGAGCAAGTTAGAAACGGTATTAATTTGCTCAGTTATTCCAAGCAGAGAAGTAGCCTATTTAAATCCTTCCCTGGAAGATACCTTGTTCATACTTTCCAGATGATTCAATGAGTTTATAAAGATTGACTTTGACTCTATAAATTCTAGCCCGTGTGCTACATTTAAAATAGACCCATCTTGGAGATGAACGCCAGCTATCTCTCAGTTTCTCATAACCCAGTCGGGGCAGCAGAATCATTGCCCCCGTTTCACAGGTAAAGGAAGTTGAGGTGCCGGGAGGCTGAGTGGCAACTCAGTATCCTGTGCCTACCGTGTGTGGTGACAGGGTTAGAACCCAGCTGCCCTGGCCAGCACGCGCATCGTGCCACCTCCCTTCTACCAGCATTGTGATGACTTCCAAGGAAAGTGTCCACTGAAGATATTTACATTTAATTAGGAAGGATTTAACCTGTTCTTCTGTTGTTTTTAACGCTAGATACATTCTGATATCGAGGAAAAAATGGGAGTGAAAATTACATACAAATACACTGGAGTAGGGATTACAGAGCCTCCTCTTGGTATATTTAAATTTGATGAAAACACTGGAGAATTGAATATTACCAGCATTCTTGATCGGGAACAAACGCCATTTTTTCTGGTAAGAAGAACAATTATACATTTACTTGTCGTTTTTCTTCAGTAACACTTACGATTTTTTTATACCACAACAATTCAGTTATTTTAACTTAAAAACCTTCTTTATTATTTATGTTGTGATTTCAGCTAACAGGGTATGCTTTGAATTCAAGAGGAGCTAATCTAGAGAAACCCTTAGAACTGCGCATTAAGGTCCTGGATATCAATGATAATGAGCCAGTGTTCACGGAGAGAGTCTTTGTTGGGTCCGTGGAAGAGTTGAGTGAAGCAGGTAAGAATCGCTTGTTTTTTATGAATGAACAACCAAGGTCATTTTATCCCATTGAGTAAATCCCATTTGTCTTGTTGAGTATTAACCTGCAGGACAAATAATGAACCAGTTGCTGTAGGATCAGAACTGCTTTTTTTATGATAAGTTCAGATGACTTCATTTTTTTAGATTAATTTTATTGGTACATTTAAGGTACAATATAATGACATTCATCATTGGCAATTTGCACCTTTACATAATCCATCTTGGTTCTTATTTATTTCCCGTTCCCCTCCCCACCTTCAACCCCTCCACCCCTCCCTATCTACAAAGACTTTCTTTCCATTTTTTCCTTTTCTCATATTCCATTCCCTCCTTCTCTCCCCACCCTTCCCCTTCGCACCTTTTCTTCCTATTCACATTATCTGTTATGCCTTTTAATCCTTATTTACACTTTCAGTTTCTCACACCAAAGAAATCACTCAGTATTTACACGTGTGTCCTATTTATTTCACTTAAGAGTATCACCTCAGTGTGCATCCATTTAGCTATGTGTCTTTAGTTTCTCATTCTTTATAGCTACGTAGTACTCCATTTTATTTTTAAAAACACATTTTCTGTATCCAGTCTCCCATTGGAAAACAATACTCCATGCGACAGGAACCCAAAAAAAACAGGAGTAACTATCCTCTTTGCAAATCAAGTGGATTTCAAACCAACACTGGTTAAGAGAGACAAAGAAGGACGCTACATCCTTGTAAAGGGAACAAGCCAAGAGGAAGAGATGACAATAGTTAATATATATATACGCCAAACACTAGTGCACCCAACTAAATAAAACAAATACTAAAGGACGTGAAAAATCATATAAGTACTAATACAATAGTAGTGGAGGACGTCAGTACTCCACTGTCACAAATAAATAAATAGACCAACCAGATAAAAAATAAACAATGGAATACTAGAACTCAATCAAAATTCTTGAACAAATGAACTTAATAGATGTTTACAGGGTGCTCCACCCCACAAAATCAGAATACACATTCTTTTCAGCTGCACATGGATCATTCTCCAAAATAGACCACATTCTCACTCATAGAACATGTTTAAGTAAGTGCAAAGAAATTGAAGTTATCCCCTGTATATTATCAGACCATAGTGCAATGAAATTGGAGGTCAATAGCAAAAAAAACTGCAAGAAATTCATAAACGTATGGAAATTGAATAACACACTTCTGAATTACCAGTGGGTCACAGAGGAAATTAAGAAATCAGACAGTGCCTACAATTAAATGATAATGATAGTACAACATATCAGAATCTGTGGGACACAATGAAAGCAGTTTTAAGAGGGAAATTCATAGCAGTGAATACACATGTTAGGAAAACAAATGACTTTAAAGATCATCTTGCCGGGTGTGGTGGCGCACACCTGTAATCCTAGCACTTGGGAGGCTGAGGCAGGAGGATGGCTGTGAGTTCGAGACCAGCCTGGCCTACATAGTGAGTTCCAGGGCAGTCTCAACTACATAGTGAAACCTTGTCTCAGACAAAACAAAACAAAAAAGCAAAACAAACAAACAAAAACAAGATCGTCTTTCCTACCCATCTTATTAAAGATGGTGGATTGCTGGGACAGATGCGTCTGTATAGCAGCTACCTTGAGGGAGAAAAGGAGTCTCAGACTCTATATAAATAAGTGGGTGTGGCTGCATTCCAATAGAATTTCTTTTTTTTTTTTTTTCCTCATTGAGTTTATTGGTACATTTTAGGTATACAGTACAGTTACATTCATCATTGGGATCTTGTACCTTTAAGTGACAGGTCTTGGTTCTCATTTTTTCCCCTTGTCCCTGCCCTCCCTTCACCCCTCCTCCCTTCCCTGATTACAAATACTTTATTTCCATTTTTTCATTTTCTCATGGTTTTTTTCCCCTTATTACCTTTCCCCTACCTCCAGTAGAACTTCTTGTACTAAAACAGGTCTTGCTGGCTGTTGCTCACTGGGTGTAGTTAGTGGCCCCTGACTTACTCTACTCCTACTGTAACTCCTGTTGACATTATTCAGTGCATTGCTCTACATAGGACTTGAAGTAGAGATTTATTTTTGATCAAAATAAAGAGTAGCTGTGCTTTGCTTGATTTGTCATTAATTTTAATGAACATTGGGGCCTTATATCAACTCATACATATTTTGCTGCATTTGCTGCTAGAACAGTTTTAAGAGGCTCGGTTTTGCAGTACTTCACCCTAATTTCAGCCTTGCCCCCATCTCCTATTTTTTCCTCCTATCCTCTATTCACACTTCCTTCTTCATCCAGTTAAATTTCTGATCATGGGAGGAGGGAGGGGGAGAAGGGAGGGCAGGGCTAAGGGGAAAAAATGAGAACCCAGACCTGTCATGTAAAGGTACAAGATCCCAATGATGAATGTAACTACTGTATACCAAAAATGTACCAATAAACTCAATGAGAAAAAATTTTTTTTCTGATCATGGTAAAATAGTGTGTAATTTTGATAAGTACTTGAAACCTTTTTTGGGGACAGTTGAAATTATAAATCAAAAAATAACATATGCAAGTGTACTTACCTTGGACCCCTCTTTTTCTAATGCCAGATACGCTTGTGATGAAAATCACTGCAACGGATGCAGATGAGCCCAATACTTTGAATTCTAAAATTTCCTACAGAATTTTACCTCCGGAGCCAGCGCATCCAGTGTTCCACCTAAATAAAGACACAGGAGAGATTTTTACAACCGTTTTTGCCTTGGATAGAGAGGTGAATTCATATTTAATGTCCCTTATCTTTTACATTCCTTACTATCCTTTCTAGTTTCTCCTTTCTGTCTTTGTCTTCTCTAAATTTCTTTTGTTCTGTATTCCTCATTCCCGGGATAACTCTAGGAATTATCCTCCTTTAAGTTAGTCATATGTGACAGCATCTGAATTCAAATGTGCTGTGTGCATACTGAGCTATTTATAAGATGCACCAGATCTGGAGGAGTTTGCATAAAGATATAGAATATTATCTTAATTTTTTGGTTGATTACCTGTTAAAATGATAATATCATATATCATGCATTAAACAAAATATACTTGTTTAAAGTTAACATCACTTATTTCCTTGTACGTTTTAGAAGGTAGCTATCCAAAAAGTTTAAATTACATAAAGGTAGTACCAGTACCATTCTTGTCCTTCTCCATTTAGCGTTCTATTAAGACTCCCAAGGGCCGGGGATTTAGCTCAGTGGTTTCGCTGTCTCCCAAGAGTAAGGACCTGAGTCTGGTCCCCGGAACCAAAAAAAAAAAAAGACTCCCAAAGTAGCGTTGCTCAGTTTGTGGTTATCTAAGGAGACGTCAGGAGTCTCTTCGGAGCTAGAGCACAGACAGGGAGCAGGCTGGTGGTGGTGGTGATGGTGAGAGGGAGCTGAGTGTGGGGACAGGAGACAAGGTTCTCATTCAGGTGTAAACATCCTCACAGAGGAAAAAATTATTTTAAAGCCCATATTAAAAAATTGGAGTGAATTTCCTAGATTGTTCTCCCAAACATTTCACTTTTTTATTTCTAATTCAAATTTTTTAAATAAAAGGGGCAATAGAGGAGTTTTAAAAAGCTACGAACATGAATGTGCAAGAATAAAATGCTGGTTCTAGAATGCGGTGTTAGCATGAGTACGAATCCTCATTCACGTGCATTGTAGCATACTTGGAAAATTCACTCTGCTCAGCTGGAAGGATTGTGGCCAGCATTCCTGTTGGAGTTTCCTTAAAGTTAAGCATATGATCTGTTACTTCTGCAGTTCTACTCTACACCTTTTCACATAAAGCTGGAATGGGAAAGTATTACTGTGAGTTTGCAGTGTGTGGGAAATGTACCTGATAATAACGGTTGTCACTGTGCATTTACCACATGCCAGGGGCCGTCCTAAGCCCCTTACATGGATTAATGCATTTAATCCACATACAAACCCTGTGAGCAGATCCAGTTATTATCCCCATCTTACATGTGAGGAGACCAAAGGGATTATGCGTGTGTCCAGCATGGCCAGTGAGGGTTGGAGCCAGGCGACAGATCCCAGGGCCCCCACTAGCCACGAGACCCCTAGAACTCTGGTCACCCTGAATAGAACTGCAGTGAGAGGATACGCCCAGAAGAAAGGCTCACTTTGGAGGGACATTAGTGAGTGATACTAGTGACAGTCATTCTATGGGACACATTCCCTAAGGGTCACATCTCTGGGGAAATCTGGACAAACTGTCTTCATTGGCCCCGATTTTTTAGGCCTGGGTTTTAGTATTTAGCTGAGAACAAAGTGTGGGGCAGAAAACAAAACAATGCCTGCATTCCTGCCATTTCATCCAGCTTAAAACAAACTACTTTTTAGGGTTGCGGGGTACTGGGAATCAAACTCAGGCTCTTGCACTTGCGAGGCAGGCACAGTGCCACTGAACTAAGTCCCTGGCCCAAAAACTACATTTTGAATAGGGCTCCTTTTTGTGGACAGCTTTAAGGAGAATCGTTCCCTGAGAACATTACCAATTACAAATTTAAGAATTTGTTAATAACCCCCTGAGGTTTTTCTGCCCTTCTACAAAGCTCGACCTGAAAATAAATAGCATCTTTATGCCTAAAACAGCAAGTCATGAAAGTTATTTACAAATAAAATATATTATGGTCCTGTTTGTTTGTTTGAGACAGGGTCTCACTCTGTAGCCCAGGCTGGCCTCGAACTTGTGGCAATTCTCCTGCCTTGGCCTCCTGAGTGCTGGGATTACAGGTGTGTGCCACCACGCTCAGCATTATGGTCCATGTTCTAATAGTAAAGCAAACTAAAATTAGAAAGACAAATTTGGGAAAGACTCATTTTCAACCCAGTGGGTATCTTTCATTACTCTGCAGGAACACAGCAGTTATTCTTTGACTGTGGAAGCAAGAGATGGCAATGGAGAAGTAACAGACAAACCGGTACACCAAGCTCAAGTTGAGATTCGTATTTTGGATGTCAATGACAATATACCTATAGTGGAACATGAAATGGTAACTTATTTTTATAATTCCATGTATTTATTCATATTTGAACTTCGTTTTACATTAAAATTTAAAAAATCGTGCGCTCATATTTTGCAGTACGAAGGGACGGTTGAAGAAAATCAAGTCAATGTAGAAGTTATGCGCATAAAAGTGACAGATGCAGACGAAGTAGGCTCTGATAACTGGTTGGCGAATTTTACATTTGCATCAGGAAATGAAGGGGGTTATTTCCACATAGAAACTGATGCTCAAACTAACGAAGGGATTGTGACCCTCGTGAAGGTAAGTGGGCCGGGTTGCCGCTAGAGAGAAGCTAGCAAATCCTGAGCCCACACACAAATATTTTACACACACAAGCAGGACTATAATTGTTGGAATAAATGGTCATACTGCAGGTTAACTCTACATCCTAGAACTCTGATCCTAGCCCATCGGCATGATACCAGAGTCATTGTTTAGTACATTTCTGGTCGTGCTGCTGCCCATCCCTGCCATACCACTCCCATGGCAAGACCTTGTGCCTCTATTGAATATCTGTTACTTACCAGTGCTTATTTATCTGCTTAATACTAAAGCCAAACCCCACTAGTGACATCTAAAAATTAAAGCTGTGATAAATTGATATTTAAATGTGCCTAAGAATCACCTACTAAAGGTTCATGCCAAAAGTATAGATTCCTGAGCCCTATCCTCAAAAAATCTAGCTAGGCTTGACTCAGGATCTTTCCTTATAGTCAGAAATCCACTTGTAATTCTAATATACTCTATATGAGGGCTGCATTTTAGACCAAAGAAATCTAATTTTATATGACATTGAGTCAATGAAGAAAAATTGAATTAAATCATATTAAGCACATGGTTCTTATGCATTTAGATTTCATAACTCCTACAGAACTTTAAAAAGCAAAAATTACAAGGTAATTGCCTTACCAGACTTCAAAATAAAATGCAAAGCTATAGCTTTCAAAATACTGTTTCTTTAAATTACACGCAGACCAAAAAAAGTTGATTCTAGAAGTTAACAAATTTTTACAAACAATATATAAAAGTTGAGGTAAAGTCTAACAGTGAGAAGGAAAATATGTAACAGAATAGGAAATAATTAACTTAAAGTTTCATAGTAATAATTTTGAACATCATTTATTGATAGTCTCCTATATGCATTTAAACTACCTTTTCAAATGCAGAGGAAAATTGAATGATATTACCACAGGGAAGACACATTTTATGATTATTGAAGAAGTAGATAACCACATCAGAGACAAATTAATTCATCTGCTTCTGTAGAAATAAGCACAACTTTTAGCCATCAGTTTAGGTAAAGCCATACCAGATGTGTGAGATACAAATGCGAATGATATGCAGGACAAGAAACAGCTGGGCACTGGTGAATTCTAGCGGTGCCAGTTTAGTCAACTATGATAATACACAAAAAAGGAATGGAGTTATTTCTGCCAAGAGTAGTATGGATGAAAAATAGTAGAATTAGTATTACAATGAAAGTAACTGATTTAAGCAGCTACAGATTTATTGTCTGGGTTATATAAAGAATTGCTTCCAAATTATAAGGCAGTGACCCGATACCATTGAGAAGCAGTTAGATAAAGAAGATACATAAGTAACAAACGGGCACCATAAAAGGGTGCCATTAATCATTAATCATTAGAGAAATGCAAAAATAAAACCCCAAAACTATGACTACATATATATTAAGATAGCTAAAATCAATGCCTTAGTCTGTTTGGGACTGCTGTAACAAAATACCAACAACTGTGTACCTTATAAACACAGAAATTTGTTTCTTACAGTTCTTGAGGCCAGGAAGTCCGAGACCCTTGCACATTCAGTGAGGGCCAGTTTCTGGTTCATATTCAGCAGCCTCTTGCTGTTCTCACGTAGTAAGTAAGTGATGCCCGTGAGATCCAGAGGCCTCTTTGTAAGGGCACTGATTCCATTCCTGAGGGCTGACACCTCCCAAAAGCCTCTTCTCTCAATACCGTCATTTTGGGGGTTGAGATTTCAGCATATGAATTTTATAGGGTTACAGTCAGTCCATGACGATCAGAAAGATTGACAACACCAAGTATTGGCAAGAATATAAAGAAACCAGAACCTTTCTGTGTTGTCGTGGAAATAAAAAATGGCACAGCCAGTTTGGCAGGTTTTTTTAAAAAATTCAAATGTAGAGGGCCGGGGATTTAGCTCAGCAGCACCGTTCCTGCCTCAAAAGTGCAAGGTCCTGAGTTCAATCCCCAGTACCAAAAAAAGAAAAAAAAATTGAAATGTGGAGTAGTTACCCTGTGGCCCAGCAATGTTATTAGTAAATATTCGCCCAAGAAAATTAAAATGTGTCTATGTGAAGACTTACAGCAAATGTTCATAGCTGTCTTATTCATAATAGTGAAAATCTGGTAACAAATGTCTATGAGCTGATGAGTAGAATAAGTTAGATGGTTATACCCATATATTAGAATACTACTGACAATAAAAAGTAATGGAGTGTTGATAATATGCCATAACATGGATTAACTTCAAAAACATCATGCTATATGGAAGAAGCCAGATAAAAATTCTGTGTATTATAGGACTGCATTTATGGAAGAATTCTGGAAAAGACAAAACAATGGAGACAGAAAACAGATCAGGGGTTACTTGGGGCTAGGAATGTGAGGGAGGGTGACCACAAGTTTGCACGAAGGAACGTTTTGGAGTGATGGATGTATTTTAAACTGGACTATAGTTAGAATTGCGAATATTAAAAGTCATCATGCTCTGAACATAAAATGGATGAATTTTATTATATGTAAGTTGTATTTCAGTGAAGCTCTCAAAATAAGATGAAGGAGATGAGCAGAGATTATAAAATATGGTTAGAGGGACAAGTAAATCATCACAATCCATTGCTTTGTTAACAGTATAACAAATTTAAAATCTGTAATGCTGTTGAAAAATAGCAGAAATGGTAAAATGTTGATAGAGTTATTAAAAAAAGGAAGTATTTCCTCCTGGAGTGTTCCTGATGCTGAAGTATTTTCCTTCTCTCTGGTGCACTGTGGCTATTTATGACAAGCACTAGGAAGCAGTGTTTATGGCCCCAGAACCCAGCCCACTGTTCACTCTGCCTTTGCTTTAAATGCTGATGGTGGCTGCCTGTAAGATTTCATTCCTCACCCAGTTAAAGTGGCAGCATCCACACAGATGTGCCAGCTGCAAGGACAATTTTAAAGAACTTTCCTGAAGATACTACAAATGTCTGATTTCTATAACTATTCTGTTGTTTTCTGGTCTCCACACCACAGTGATGTCTATTTCAAAGGGGGAAGAAGAAATGGCTGTTGATGCAGAACCCTAAGAAAAGAAAAACAAAACCCTTAATCAGTCACCCATGAGACAAATGAACAGCATTGCTGTAACACAGTAAACACATGAAATGTATTTAATCTTATGTTGAAAAAAAACAAAGTGATCCACCCATCTAAATGGTCAGGGACACTGGAAATAAAAAGCAATAAAAAAATATAGGACCAGATTCTGAACTTTTGACTAGGTAATAGGATATAGGTCGACTGAAGAACAGTAAGTTGTATAAAAATGTTCAGACCAGTGTTTTATTTAAAAATTGCTAATAGTCCAAATGCGTAGTAACAGAATGGCTAAGTAAGTTAATTATACGTAAATATAAAATACTACAGAAATGCTTATAGAGGAAATGGAAAAATTGAAACTAAAATATGTATACAGTGATAATTGGCTTGTATCAAATAGATGCGATAAATACCACAATCACAAAGAATTATTTGAAAAGAACCTAATCTCTTAGTGAATTAACAGCAATTATTTAATAAATATTTCAATAAATACCTGCTACAAAAAGGACTAGGTTTTTTGTTTGAATACATTTGAAAATCCCTCAGTTTTTTGTTCACTACAAAAAGTCTTGTTTTATTTTAGTACACTAATGCATAGGATAAATTCATTTTAGGGGACAGAGGTGGCAATGCGAATCCATGGAACACATTTTAAGGAATACTAATTTTTATTGAATGTTCATTAATGTTCCCATGCCACGTTACAGTGTTGATAAAAACGTATATTTTTGAAAATTTTGTCCTTTAGAAAAATAAATTGGTAATGCTTTTTAAGCATCCTTAACATTTATGAATATCCAAATTATTGATAGAGCATTTTTTTAATTGCTTGGTATCAATGAGAGTTGAAATACCCATCGAGTTATTGTTATTATATTTAACATTAAAAATGTTTTTATGTGATGTGTGTGTGTGTGTGTGTGCACTCTGTGTTCTACTTATTTTCTCTGTTAAAAAGACTCTTTGATTTTGCCTTTTTAGGAAGTGGATTATGAAACAATGAAGAATCTTGACTTCAGTATTATTGTCACTAATAAAGCAGCTTTTCACAAATCAATTAGGAATAAGTATAAACCTAAAGCCATTCCTATCAAAGTAAAGGTGAAAAATGTGAAAGAAGGCATTCATTTCAAAAGCAGCACAATTTCAGTTCGTGCTAGTGAAGGAATGGATAAGTCAAGCCTAAGCAAAGCAATTGGAAAATTTGAAGTTTTTGATGAAGACACTGGACAATCGGCTCATGTAAAGTAAGAAAATGTTATGAATATATTTTCTGTTTTTAAATGCCTGTTTTCAAAATTAATAATGAAATTTAAGCACTTTATTATTTTATACCCCAACATTGTAGTTCACCAAATGTCTGTAGATAAGATTTCCCAAAGCTGTGGGAAGGGTAGGGGAAAGGAAATAAGGGAAAAGAAAAAAATAGGAGAAAATGAAAAAATGGAGATAAAGTTTTTGTAAATAGGGAAGGGAGGAGGGGGTGAAGGGAGGACAGGGGTATAGGGAAAAAATGAGAACCAAGACCTGTCATGTAAAGGTACAAGATTCCAATGATGAATGTAACTGTACTGTATACCTAAAATGTACCAATTAACTCCATGAGAAAAAAAATAATAGAAATAAAATTTCCCAAAGCTGTGCCTAAAAATGAGAGATGAGGAGGAATTTTCCAGAACCTTCCTTCAATAGCCTGTGTTTGAGGTGGCGGCTAGGTTCCTTACCATAGAAACAGCTGTGGCTAGAATAGGTTGAAAAGCAATAAAGGAAAATTTCTGTGAAAAAGAAAACCAACTTTCTATAATCTATCGTATTCTGAAAAGAGTATTTAAAAAAGAAAGAAGCAGATTAAGTTTGCCACAAATTCTCCTTTACCTGGGTTTGGTTAAAAGCAGTAGTTGCTTCATAATTTTACTGTGGGAAAATGAATTCTATTCATAAATACAACTTGGGAATTAATCTTCATTTTAAACCATGTTTTTTTGGTTTGGGAAGGATTAATTTTTTTTTTCTTTTTAGTGAACCCCTTTAAATGGAACTCATCAGCAATAGAATCAAATAACCTTTTCCCACAGTAATAAGTAACAAACAGTGCCCATGGCATCCATAGTATCTTGGTAGCCATCTTTTGCCAACTGTCCGCACAGGGGCGCCAGCCTCCATCTCTCGAGCTAGGTAGTTTGGTTTTTTTAAATCTCATTAAAACCATCTCACGGCTTTTGTAAAGGGTATAACATCGTGCAGAATAAATTGTGACAGATTTTGTATGTTTACTAGTACATGTTTACCGCACATAATGATTACATTCATCATGGAGAGCTGGTGCTCTGTACCCAGCAAGGGGTCCCTAACAGATCCACAGAGCTAAGGGATTGCTATGAGGTTCTGTGTGATGATTTCTCACTGCCGTCCACTGAGAAGCTCATATCTTCCAATGAATCATCTACAGACAATATTGTGGCTCAGTATTGAGCATTCTGTTTCCCACCAGTTTTTAAATTTTGAATGCTCTTCTTATGAGGGACTGTGAATATATTTTTTTTTTAAATCTTCTACCTGGAAAAATGATGACACATACAGGCTTCTTTAGCACACAATTACAGACCCTTAGAATAAGAGAAAAATGCTGGAGAGGATCTGGAGGAAAAGGAACCCTTCTCCATTGTTGGGAGTGTAAAGTCGTACAACCACTGCGGAAGTCAGTGTGGAGCTTCCTCAAAACACTAAAACTAGAAATTCCACTTGACCCAGCTCTTCCTCTCAGTGATGCAAACGTACCCATGTTTATAGCAGCACAGTTCATAATAGAAGCCTGCAGGCCCATCAACAGGTGAATGGCTGAAGAAAATGTGGTCTATATACACAACAGAGTACGACTCAACCATAAAGAAGAACAAATTTGAGTCATTTGTGGGAAAATGGATGCACCTTGACACTTTAATACCAAGTGAAATAAATCATACACAGAAGGTTAAATATTTCATGATTTCTCTTATGTGAAAAACCCAAAATATAAATAATTTCAAGAGCAAAATAAAAAAGCAGATATAAGGAGATAGACTTTGTGGAGATGGAAAAGGGATCTGGGGATTGGGAGAGAGGGGAAGAAGAAGTAAAAATAATCACGATGAAATATGTGTGTGCACCAATTCCCCAGATGAATGTGATCATTATGTATTACAACATATACTGACAAAAAGAGAAGCCTTAAAAAACAAATGAAAAGGTCCTTAAAAATCAACTCAAACCCATTTTACATAAGGACTGGGAGGCACAGCTAAGTTAAATTATTTTGCAATATTCACTTAATGTACAGTTACTATTTTGGAATCTTTATACAGAAGAAGAATCCTACCCTTAATTTTGTCATAGTTTTCTATTTTGCTCATTATTCATTGGTATCAGTTGTTCATGGATATTTGGTACCATGTGTGAGCTGAATAGGGAAAATACTTGAATGGTGTCTGATTTTTCACAACACAGAAGAACAGTTAGAAAATCACTGAAATTAGGCCACACAAAGTATTTCTTTGTGAAGTGTGATCTTATTAGTAAGACTCTGCCCTCACTGTAAACGTGAATGTGGGAGACTGTGAATGACAAGTGAATTCTAGCTTTTAAATTCCTGACGTGAAATTCAGAAGTACTTATGAAAATATTAACAACAGGGCCAGGGATTTAGCTCAGTGGCACTGCGCCAGTCTCGCAAGCGCAAGGACCTGAGTTCAATCCCTGGTACAAAAAAAAAAGGAAAGAGCCAGAGAGAAGAAACTTGAATTACAAGGAAGAGGACTAGGACAGAACTCTAGACTTACTGATCAACAGCACAGTGACAGCGTTTAAAATCAGAAGACTGGATGCGATCAACAGTGAGTGATTGTAGGTAGAACACAATAAAGGTCCAACTGTTGAGTCCTGGGGCACTGCAATGTTAAGAGGTTAAGGAGAGGAAAAGCAATCAGTTAATAGGATAGAGAAGAAAAACAAGCCAAGCAAAGAATGTTCCAGTGTGTTAACAAGGCAAGGTCCTGAGTTTGATCCCAGTAACCCCCAAAATTGACGACATGCCAATAAATAGTATCACTTAGGAATACTTTGCTCCACCTATCTTGTTGTAAAACTAAATTATTCCCCAAAGATTTGCCCCAGATTTAAGACAGAACAGATCAGAAGCTGCAGGACAGAGTCCAGAATGGCTTACGAACTTCCTGGGTGCGTAGGGGAAGGTTGATCACCCTTGGTACATTACATACTTGAATACATTATAGCGTCCAGGATTCTTCCAAGGAAGTGTGACGTGCACACAGTCAGTGGAAGGAGTGTCCAGCATAGTTTTAAAGAACTGAAAACATTCAAAACAAGGGCAAGGGACTTAGCTCAGTGGTTCTGCTGCCTGCCTTACAAACACAAGGTCCTGAGTTCGATCCCCGGTACCAAAAAAAAATTTTAAATATCATTCAAAACTAATGTCTGTAACAAGAACATATGTAATGAGATAAAAATTATGTTTGAAAGCATTGTAGAGATTCCAAATTTATCCAGAATGAGAACTTAATTTTGTGTTTGTTTTGAAACAGATACATAAAGTTGGAAGATAGTGACAACTGGGTCTCTGTGGATTCAGCCACGTCCGAAATTAAACTTGTAAAAATTCCTGATTTTGAATCGAGATACGTCCAAAATGGTACATATACTATAAAAGTTTTGGTTGTGTCAGAAGGTAAGTTCTTAATATATATTTTTATTCGCTATATGTATTTAGATTTTATCTTCCAGCATCAGAAACTTTTGTTTTCAGTGTGTTTAAAAATCTAATCTCTCCAATGGATTACCTGTATCCTATT